TCACCAATATTTTTTTATAATTTGAGAAATATCTTTTATAATTTGAGAAATTTATAGAGACCCAATCATTTGATAAATAATATATGTTCTAAGTAGTGTCTACCTAGAGGAGTCTTGATAGATAACTTTGAGAAATATCTTTTATAATTTGAGAAATTTATAGAGACCCAATCATTTGATAAATAATATATGTTCTAAGTAGTGTCTACCTAGAGGAGTCTTGATAGATAACCGTAAAACACATTAGCTATCTATTTTATTTTATTTGCTTATTCAAATTGAACAAATTTATTTAGGAAATATGTTTGCTATATGAAAATAAACTATTATTCTCAAATTATGATTTGTGATATCGTTTGTTTTTGAAACGTAGGAAAACACTATAAATGGAAAAATGGGAGGGAATTGAATAATGTTTTAAACTTTTTCGCAAATAGTGTTTAATTTTACTTTGTAGGGGTTAGATGATCTGCAACAGAAGATAAACACTTAAGTTTATAAAGCCGCGTTAAATGGAAAACTTTCAAAAAACAAAAACAACAAAGCACACTTCTCTTTTAAATTTATTTAAGTGGTTCTATTGATCACGAAGATTACATACGAGTTTAACCACTCCTGATTTACACACTAACCAATTGGTTAGACGAGTATAACCATTCCTGGTATCACTAGTCTATCTGACTAGACAGTCTAATTCCACTGAGTTAACTTTACAAGTGTTTGAATTCACTTTTTAATCTAAAAACAACAAAGTATTTTTGAAATACAAGTACAAAAGATTGCTATCATAGAAAGGATATGAAATTAATATAATGAAGTTCTAAAAACTTGTAAAAGTACTTTTCTTTTCAAAGATAAATCTTAAGAGAAGGAGCTTGGAGTGAAGCAGCGTGAGCATATTGCAATAATATAATTCTTATTTGTCTTCTCTTCATCCAGTCCTATTTGGAAAAGAGATGCTCGCGCAAATAATCGATTATTGCTCAGAATAATCGATTATCACAGTCTGATTTAATATTGCTCAGGTTGTGCAAATAATCGATTATCACTCAGGATAATTGATTATCACTTTTTGAAAACCCCATAATGGACACAAATAATCGATTATCACTTATGATAATAGATTATATTTGGTAGTTGGGAGTTGTCTTTTCATTTTCTGAACATTGGGCTTATAAATAGAGGTCTTAAAAACTCTTTGAAAGTAACTTTTCATTTGAGAGTATTAAAGCTTTGTGCCTAAGGGAAACTCTCTATGAGTGAAAAAAGATCTATGCCATTTGAGAATACAATTTGTCTTCTCAAGTGATAGTGGTTCTCTTTTCAAGTCTTGTGAATAGGAGAAGCTCGCGCTTAGTGTGTCTAAGGTCGGAGCGGTTCTCTTCAAGTTGGCTGAGCAATATTCTTCCGGTTCATTTGTTGAAGGAAGGTTCTTTCGTTCGTGTGTCGAAGGAAGGTATTTTCTATTCTTTGCTTATTTTGATTATCTGATTATAATCTACAAACCATAATTTAGTGAAAAAGGTTAATCACTATTCATAGTGATTAACGAATGGACGTAGAATCTTTTTATTTGAATTAGGATAAAATTTCTGTGTTGATTTCTTGAACCCTACACTCTTTAGATTTTTAGCACACCAACTGTTTGATAAAAGTTCTCTAAGAAAATCAAATTTTAAAACTTACAATTATATCTTGTTTATTGACCGCTACATGCTTTCCGCTCTTATAATCTTCTTTTTATTCCGCTGTGCAATACTCACTGATACCTACAATTGGTATCAGAGCTTGCTTTGATAGTTTTTCAAATTTTTCGAAAATGGGCGGTCATAACCAAATGTATCTTGAGGGTGCTTCTATTGATAGACCTCCTTTGTTTACGGGAGAAAATTATGCGTTTTGAAAAATAAGAATGCAAATATTTTTAGAGTCAATTGACAGGGGTATTTGGGAAGTTGTTTTAAATGGTCCATATATGCCTAAAAGTACTGTTAATGAGGTAGAAGTAGAAAAACCATATTTTTCATGGACTGTTGAAGAAAACAAACAACCTCATTTTGATATAAAAGCTCTCAATATAATATCCTCTGCTTTGGTATTAGAAGAATTTTACAGGATTTCAGTGTGCAAAACGACTCAGGAGATGTGAGAAGTTCTTCAAGTAACCCATGAAGGAACCAACGATGTGAAGCATGCTAGGAAGAACACCCTGATACAGAAGTATGATATGTTCAGGAAGCAACAGGGTGAAACCATCGCTGATGTGCAAAAACGCTTCACATATATCGTCAACCATCTTTTTGGTTTAGGTAAGAAATTTGACATTGACGAATTAAATGTAAAAATTTTGAGATCTTTGAACAAGACATGGCAGCTAAAGGTTACTGCAATAACTGAGTCTCAGGACTTAACGTCCATGTCCATGGCTTTCCTTTTTGGAAAGTTGAGAGAGCATGAGCTTGAGTTGAATAGACTGAGTGTTGAGGAAGCCCAAGGAAAGAAGAAAACATTGGCCTTCAAATCTGAACTTTCAAAAAGTAAGAGTTCAGAAAAGGATGAGGAGTCTAAAGATAGAGACTCAGACGACGAAGATATGATTCACATGTTTAGAAAATTCAACAAGTTCATGAAATCTAGAGGCAAGGAACAAATTAAAAAGGACCGGAAGAAGAAACAAAGATCTTCTTCAAATTACAAGTGTTATGGTTGCGGAGAAAAAGGGCACGTTAATGCAGATTATCCACACCTCAAAAAGGGTGAAGAAAAGAAGTCTTTCAAGAAGAAGAATGCTTATGTCGCTTGGGAAGAAAATTACTCAAGCTCAACTAGTTCAAGTGTTTCCAATGAAGAAGCCAACTTATGTTTGACGGTTAATATTGATGACACTATAAGCCAAGTAAATTCCTCTAGCCTTGACATTAGTGAATTTGATGTATAAAAGGGTTTTCTTGAATTACTTGATGAAGGAAATTGAAAGTTGCTCATAAAATTTTGAAAAATGAGTTTAAGGATTTGAAAATTAAATATTAGAAGGCATTAGATGAGGAAGTTATTTTAGGAAATAAAATTTGTAATTTAGAAATGAAAGAGTCTTCAATTGTTGAACATCTTTTTGAGTGTCTTTCATGTAAGAGTCACATGCTTGATATTGATATTCTAGAAAATATTCTTGAAGTGGCAACCACAAATAATAATGTTGAAACACCTATATTTGTTAAAAAGGTTTATAGAAACAAAAGTGTGCATAAAAAGAACAATCAAATTGGAAGAACATGTAGGGTATGGGTTGAAAAAGGAACAACTTATTTTAGGAACCCATGTGTTGTCACATGTTTTTACTGTATGAAAAAGGGGCACACTTCTAGCAAATGTAGAATTAAACATTGATGTTCCTAATGGAAAATATGCTTGGATTCCTGTTATTAAGTAATTTGCCTCTAACCTCAAAGGACCCAAATGAGATTATGGGGACCAAAACTATATTATTTTGTTTTGCAGGTTAATTTTCAAAAGGAAAAGAAATATCTATGGTATCTTGGTAACTTTTAAGAGTTTTGAAAATAATTTATGAATTCTAGATGTGTCTTAGGTTGAAAAGTTGACCCAAATTTGCATTTTTCGGAAATTAACGTAAATAATTGATTACCAAGGATAATAATCGATTATCTCAGTCTCAAAATATGAATTTTGAAAATTTGACTCGCAAATAGTTAATTATTTCAAGGGATAATCGATTATCTTAAGTTAAACCATTAAAAAATAAAATAAAATAAAAATAATTTTTTTTAAAAAAAAATTAATTTTTTTAAGGAGAATATTACATTTAGGGGGAGTAATTTTTTATGAATTAAAAAGACCTAAATTCTTTTTAAGTTAACTATTTAGGGGGAGTATAATGGTTAGATGCTTTTTTATTATGATAAAAAGATGGAGAAATTTTTGATTTACATCTTATGTCATGATCTTTGTGATAACTGGTACCTATTTGAGGGGGAGATATATGAGTTTGTTTGATATCTTCTTATTTATTTCTGTGCTATATATTAATTACTCTTTTTCCACTTATAATATTTGAATTGCATATTTCTTTTGTTGAGGGGGAGTTATACTTGAGGGAGAATATTTATTTTTACTTTTTGCTTATGATAAAAAAAGGGAGAGAAAAACTTCTAATTACACTAGTAGAAAAAGAGGATTCTATGACGGGATATTATGATAGGTAAAATCTACCATGTTATAATACATTGACCGATGACAATTTTGTAATAAAACTAAGATATATTATGATGTATTTTAAGAAATCTATCATAAGAGATGTACTAGTGACATTTTTATAATAAAAGTTATATAGATTATGATAGGTAAAAGACTACCTATAATAATAAGTTGGAGCGTTCACATAATGGAAATTATGATGAAAAGATATATAGATATTGAAATAACTATCATAAAAGGTGCAAACTTCCTATTTCGAAAGTTCATTCCCATTTCGAAACTTCATTGTCACCTTGAATCATACACTTCGCGCACACTTATTCGTCTCGAAGCACACTTCACGCACACTCTCGTTCCGAGAGCCTCCATGCGCGCACACTCGTCTGAGCCTCTAACGACGACAGGCCTCCACGATTTGTCAGATGGGACGAAGGAGCCGTCTACTACAGCGACCAAGCGTTCGCCGGAGACGACGGTGCCGACGCCTGTGGGGAGGCTGGCACGGATTCGAACCACTCCCTCCTCCAGAAATTCAAGGAGTTCATTCGAAACTTCGAGACCGCCAACAACGTCTTCCCTTACAGAGAGACCCTACTCCACAACCCTAAGTTCCTTCTCGTCGATACGGGAGATCTCGTCACGTTCGACTTCGACCTTTCTGCCAAAATCCGCTCTTCCCCTGCCGATTTGCCCCTGGTACTCTTGGTTTCTCCCTCTCTCCTCAAACATTGTCGTTTATTCTGACATTATTTCTTACTTTTGTAGTTTGAAACGGCAGCGGCGCAAGTTAACGTGAGTTTGAACACCAAGGTTGCTAGAGATACTAGAGCCATGGAGGATCCTATTCTCGGTGATCTTCAGATTTTGCTCACCTCCAAGGAGGATCTGATTTCCATGAGATCTCTTGGGGTATGTGGATTAAATCTAATGCAATTACAAATTGAAATTTTGTGCTTAAAATGTTTTTGGTTAAAATTGGGGTGTTTTTTGTTGAGTACAGTTGAATTGTGGACATCATATTGGTGTTTTCTTTCTATAGGCTCAGTACATATAGAGACTTGTCAAAATCGTCGGGATTACTATTGTTGCCTCTAGGACTAAGGCAAAGGCTACTTATGTTACCCTGATATGTAAAAACCATAAGGGGAAGCAGGTTCCATGCCGGCCAGGACTTGGAGGAGCCATTGTTCCTCGATCCTGTGATCATGTTCCTCAGGTTTAGTTCATGTTTATATTCACTGTCTTTGCTTGTTTGGTGTTATATGCTTATGATTTACTTACGAGATAAGGGGCTTCTATAGCCTGGAGAAGAGCCTGGCCTAATTGATCCCTGACTTGTGGTCCCTGACTTGAGTAGCCTGGACAAGAGCATAATTATAAGCTTTTACCTTCACCTATCTTGCTTGAGTAGTCATTGATTTATGTTGTGTACTTCAGCGTGAGTTTTATCTTGAAGGAGGAGCCATGGTCTTGGCTGATGGAGGTGTTGTATGTATTGATGAGTTTGATAAAATATAAGTACGCAGTATTTTGTCATATTCTTATGTAAGTCGCAACTGTAAATTTTTTATGAAACTTCATATATTGTTTTTTATGCAGAGTTGTTATTCATGAAGCCATGGAACAGCAAACAATATCCATTGCAAAGCGGGAATCACAGTTGTACTTAACACACAGACTTAGTATTTTGATGTATATTATTAAACAATTTAATGTTTGAAATGAATTTCATTTTATTTGTTTAATTGAATTTGTTCATTTCAAGATATATGAATTATAAATTGATTGGATGAGATCATAATACAGGAAAATTAATTATAAATTGATTAGATATCAAATCTAAGCATGTAATTTTTTTTAAAAAAAAATCAAGTTTTTATGATAGGTAAAAAGTTACTTGTCATAATATATTCGACATACAATGATAGGTGACAGAAGTATGTCATAATACGTTGAACCTTATTATGATGCCCATAACTATGATGTCAGGCCACCTATCATAATAGGTCATTTTTACCTATCATAAAAAGAAGTTTTTCCATTAGTGTTAGTGTAGTTATTACTAACATGTTTATGTGTTTGTAAGTCTAAATCTGTGCAGGAAAATTAGAAATGCTTTTGACAAGAGAATTTTGATCATCATAAAAAACGGGGAGATTGTTACTAAATGAGGAGCATTGGTGTCTTGAAGATATTATGGTTTTATTGATGCTACAAGATAAAAACTTCAAGACTCTTGTTGTAGTTTCTTTAAAATCATTTTGTAGAATTAATTGTATAGGAATAACTATGTAAGAACACTTAGAAGTTTTCCTGTTTAGAAGATGTTTGCGCAGATAATCGATTATTTGGTGTAATAATCGATTATCACGAGCCTATTTGGAAAGGAGTTGCTCATGCAAATAATCAATTATTGCCCAAAATAATCGATTATCACTGTTTGATTTAATATTGCCCATGTTACGCAAATAATCAATTATCACTCTGGATAATCGATTATCACTTTTTGAAAACCCCATAACAAACACAAATAATCGATTATCACTTATGATAATAGATTATATTTGGCAGTTAGGAGTTGTCTTTTCATTTTTTGAACCTTGGGCTTATAAATAGAGGTCTTCACAGTTCTTTGAAAGTAAATTTTCATTTGAGAGTATTAGAGCTTTGTGCCTAAGGGAAACTCTCTATGAGTGAAAAGTGATTTATGCCATTTGAGAATACAATTTGTCTTCTCAAGTGATAGTGTTACTTTTGTCAAGTCTTGTGAACAGGAGAAACTCGCGCTTAGTGTGTCTAAGGTCGGAGTAGTTCTCTTCAAGTTGGCTGAGCAGTTTTCTTCTGATTCGTTTGTCGAAGGAAGGTGTTTTATATTCTTTGCTTATTTTGATTATCTGATTGTAATCTGCAAACCATATTTTAGTGAAAAAGGGTAATCACTATTCATAGTGATTAACGACTGGACGTAGAATCTTTTGATTCGAAACAGGATAAAATTTATATGTTGATTTTCTTGAACCCTACATTCTTTAAATTTTTAGCACACCAATTGTTTGATAAAAGTTCTCTAAGAAAATCAAATTTTAAAACTGACCATTATATCTTGTTTATTGACCGTTACACGTTTTTCGCTCTTATAATCTTCTTTTTATTCCGCTGTGCAATACTCACTAATACCTACAGATTTTTTTTATAAAAACACGTTATAGCGTTTAATGTTGTCTAAAATTCGTTAGACGCTATGCGTTTTAAACGCTCTGTTAGAAAACTGTATTGTTTAGCAGTTATTCTAGACTGTAAAACATACGTTATGAGTTATTCTAGTTAGACATTTTTATATTATTTAGGATATATAAAATGTAGCGTTTAGCGCTTCTTATCTTTTTATCTTAGACGATTAAAAGTTATTTTGTTCACGCGTTATGTTAAACTTCAAAACAAGGTTTGCTTAGACAGTCTTGTCTTAACATATTTGTTTCCTTAAGCAAAATATATCAAAATATGTTTTGAAACAATTTTTAGAACTTTTCTTATAGTGTCTTATACCAAAAAGATGAAGATACAGGCTTGATATTGCAAATTTTATAGAATAAGGTATTTTGTGGTTTAGAGCTTAAAAGATCATAATTTCATGGCTACATGAAGAGTTGATGGTCAAAGAGATTGATCCATCTATCATCACTCAATTCATAATTTCATAAACTTATAAAGATACCCTTTCATTAGAACACAAAGATACCTACCTGTCTTATGCAAGAAATGCCAAAATCAACCAAACTCATTAAGTGTTGTTCTTCTTTGAATTCTATTATCTTTCTTTTGTTGTGAAGCTTGTTATGTTACGTCCTTGATATCTAAGTGCATGGTCTCCTTGATCTCTTATGAAACAACTAATGCAAGGAATGAAGCAACTTTAAGAAAAATATATTATTAAAGTAAAGAGAAGAATATTTTTTCATTTGAACATTCTTTATATGCTGCTCTACTTTCTCATTTCTACCCAATGTGTAACCTTGACTCACACTTGGATTCTCAACAATTTCCCCCCTCAAGGGTGAGTTCCTTCCATAGTAGTACACTCCCCCTCTAGCGGAAGGATTCGAGTACCCCTTTTCGTACCGTCATTCATCTTAGTGGGACACTCTTACCTGGAACCCTTTGTCAGAAAGACTTTCGATACATGGACCATTGTACACATTTGAGCCTAGCCTGGCTCTGATACCACTTGTTAGATCTATGAGGAGGAGGTTCACTAGGAATATACAACACCAATGAGATATGAGCCTAATCATATAAGGGATTAACACCACTCTCTACCCAAAACCTTATGGCAATGGGTTAATGAGTGTTCAACTTTATATATTGCTCAACTTTCTCATTTCTATCAAATGTGGGACTTGGACTCATACTTGGATTCTCAACACAAGATTCAATAAAATTGTAGCGTTTGGACTATTATGCTCTTAAGTAAAAGTAATTGCATCCTGAATATCAATTATAATTTTTTCCCTAGTGGTAATCACTATATCTAACAAGAATTGCAACAACGAGAGAGTGTATATTAATGATTACATTTTTACTTATATTTAGAATAATGTAATTTTAGCTTTATCAAAGTGTATTTAAGACTGATTGCACTATTTTAACTTTTTTTTACCAAGTATTTCAATTAGTAATAAAAATAAGTTTTTAAGCCTTTAAAAACATTAGGCTAGCCTAACTAGATCACTCTCACCAGAAGGTTTAATATGTTGAATTCCAGTAAACGGTTTAATGGACCATATATTTGTTAAATGACTTTTATAATTGAATTCAGACATGCTAATATATATTTTGTGCAACTAAAGAGTAAAGTTAAGTCATTGTGTCTAGCTAGATGAGTATCAATAGATAGATTTAAACATGCTAACAATGCATTTGATTTGTTGATTTTAATTAAGTAATTTTATTCAAGAAATATCTGTGCGACCTAATCATGGAAAGAAATGATTATTCTTAAATTATGATTTGTGATATTATCAAAACTTTCCTATAAAGTCTTACGCCAAAAAGATCAAGATACATGCTTAATATTGTAGATTTTGTAGAGTCAAGTAATTGGTGATTTAGAGCTTCAAATATTATTCTTCACATTGAGGGTTGAAGAGATTGATCCATCAATCACCACTCACAAATCACAACTCTATACTCCACACTTAGTCACACATTAAATTTTTTTATTTCCTTTGTTGTAATTATTGATTAATTCTCTAGTGATCATAGTAAATTATGAGGTTCTATGCTAAGCAAGTTCAATTGTTTTATGTAGTTTGTTCTTTTTGAATTTTGGTATATGACATTGAAATTGTTTTTGAACCCTGTTGATAATTTAATTATAATTTTTTGTTGTTATTATTTAAAGCTATTAACCTCTTTATGTTGTTTGTAAGTATAAAAATATACAGATAACCATAAATGCTTTTAAAAAAGAGGATTATTTTATCACCATAAAAAAAGGGGAGATTGTTACCAATGTGAAACATTGTTGCTTTGAAGTAATTTTGATGATGATGCACTTAAAGTCTTGAAGACTTGAAGAACCTATACTATAAATGTTAAAAGCACGTTCTGAAGAAATCATTTGTATAGGAATTATTTAACAAATTGTAAGCACTTAGAAGTTTTGATACACTATCGTTGAAGCTATCAAATTAATACTACTTTTCAAGGCAACTTCAGTATTGCCAAGTAGTATCCAAGAAAGTAGATAGGACTAAAGTAATCCTGAGTCGTCTCCCTACGAACACGGAATTGCTTTCAAATATCTGAATCTTATGAATGTTATGCAATGCTTATGAATAAAAATAAAGATTAAAGAATGTTTAAAGAATAAATAAGAAACTTAAAAACAGTTATGATAAAATAGGCTAATTACACTGCTTTTCCAAGATAGAATCAAAATCGGTTATTCAAAGATAATTATTCAATTGATTATTATTTAAGTTTCAAATTAATTAAAGTACATTCTTAATTAATTTGAGGGCGATCATGCATTTAACCAAAGTAAATTCTCAATCAAATGCAAAACCTTTCTAGATTATTCACAATAAATTCAACCAAAGTACATTCTCAATCAAATTTTATTGTGTTTAATCATGTCTATTCTTAAATCTCCTAACCAAGTTAAAAGTTAATCAATCAAAGTAAATTCTCAATTGATTATAGTTGAAATTATTACTACCAACCAAAGTACATTCTCAATTGATAGTAAAAGTCATTTAATCATATGAAAGTTCCTAAATTAAATCAAAGTAGATTCTCAATTTAAACCTAGAAACCCTAAAACTCATATAATCAATATGCATGTAGATTCAAACATATTATGATGCAAAAATCTTTGCTTTTAACAAGATAGAGAGATGAAAGACATAGAGAGAACAACTTAAATCAATAACCAAAGTAAACAATT